TAGGAAGCTGGGGCTTGAACCCAAATCTGTATGACCCCAAAGTCTGCACATCACAGAACATCTCCTAGGCTTGCAAACCAGGTCCCTAAACCAGGATACATGCTTAGTGACCCTTATGGCCTCAGGAGGGCAATCAGAGGATTTAGGCTCCTCAATTTGTCTCTTTCCCTGACCCCTGCCATCATACCTAACATGATGTTCCACAGACCATGGCCAATCTCTGGATTTGTAGTGTGGAATTCACTGCCATACCTACATGTTAACAGAAGTGGTGCCAAGTGGATCTGACACATTTTAAGCATTAATTGTGGTATCCCACCACCTCGACTGCCTCTGATACTACACTAAGTTTATGCTAACCTTTTCATCCCCAAGAAGGAAATTTGTTATTTATCCTAAAGGAAGTTAAGAAGGGCATATACTTAACCTTTTTATTGCGAAATAAACACACATATAGAACCATATGAACAAATATATAGCCTAATAAATTATTTCAAGGCCAATATCCCTGTAACTACCACCTAGGTCAAGAAATAGAACTCTGCCATCCCAGAAGCCCCTCATGTGCCCCACATCCCAATTACAACTCCCTCCCCCCAAAATTAACCACTATCCAAATTTTACAGTAATTAATTCCTTGTATTTTTTTTTAAATAAACATGGTGATAGTTTTTATATAATTACTTTGTGTAACCTTTTAAGCAATAAACAGATAAATATTTTAGTAAATGTAATAGAACAAAGTATTTCTTTATAGATAGAAATTCATGTATGCATCCCTAGAACTAATAAGTAGTCTTGCCATTTTATAAATTTTTAAAATTTTGGTGTATCTTTTAATTCCCCCATTCCTTTTTCTTTTCTTACAATTTATCTGTTAAAGAACCTGGGGAGTCTGACTTGTAAAATTTCCCAGTCTGGATTTTGCTGAGTGCACGCTCATGGTAGAGTTCAGCATATCCCTCTGGCCTCCATATTTCCTGAACTCTTTGGCAAGATTAGAGGTGCTGTTCTTTTATAGATGGCACATAATTTCTGGTTGTCTATCTTTTTATGATGGTAGCAGCCACTGATGCTCAGCGCCTAGATCAATTACTTCCTTGGGCGTTGAAAAACTGTGATATTCTATCATTTCTTTTTCATTTATTAAGGGGGACACATCTATAAAAAGATGTTTCCTCTCACCTACTATATGATTACTCAGTATTGCAGTTCACATAAGGTCAGTAATGCTTGACTCTTTCCCTTAATTTACTAATTATCAAGATAAAGGATTAGCTCCTTCTCATCCTCCAAAAGTGGACAGTTTGTTTTGGGGTATCATTATAACCTCATAGATTATTTGATGACTTTCAATACATGGCAATTATTATTCTTATTGGAGCTCAAACTGTCCCATCTTTGACCAGTAGGACTCTTCACACAGTCTCCTGAGACTTTCGACATGACCCCAGTAGTCTTTGATAGCTTCTTTGCTATGTCTATGACAAGATAATCCTGGCTCATCTCATGTACCTCCCGCCCTAGACCTGGAATTGGTTATTTCTCAAAGAAGTCCTGGATTCTCTCTTCCATGAGTATCCTGGTTCTTAAGAACACAGGAGGTGACAGAAATAAACTGTCCCATAATTACTCAATTGCCTTATCCTGTATTACAAACATACAAGTCTCAGAATAACACTACTAATAGTGTTGCCACTAAGTTGATTACTGAAAATGATTTTGAAACTTTTTATATTGGCTTTCCCCATTGTCTCCCATTTTTTAGTCATACTCTAACTTCACTGTCAGAGGATACACTCATTATATACTATATTCTCTCTGCTAAACCACAATTAATATTAGTTCTACAAATAACTACATATTTAATGCTCATCTTCAGTCCTAACACTGATGCTTCTCTAGTCATTTTGGTTGGCTGAAACTTATTCTTTAGTAAATTACTAAGGAAAGGCTCATAGAAACAATATTCCCCAAGTTTTTGAATATTGATGAATTTGTCTGTGTCCTTTATACTCGAAAGTCAATTTTTCTGATCTAAAATTCTTGGTTTACATTTTCTTTGCTGAAGTATCTTAAATATGTAACTCTATTTTCTTTTGGCATATTACCATAGCAAAGTCTGAAGATAAGTAATTGTCTTCTTATAAGCCACATTGCCTTGATATTTACTTTCCTTCACCCCCTCTTTCCTTTAAAATCCAATAATTTTACTAGAATATGTTTTGGTGTTTATTGTTCAAAGTCTTTATTCTCAGGTATGCAATGTGTGCTCTTTCAACACATAGTTCCAAATCTTTTGTTTCAGGTAACTTTTCTTGGATTATAGATGTCAGCGTTTTTCTGTTCCTTTGCTTTGTTTCTGTTTTGCTTCAAATTCAGGGGCTCCTATTGTCCTTACGCTGGATTTTTTTTTCCCCATCTTCAATGTTCATCATTTTCTCTTGAAACCTTTCATCTCTTCATTTCTTATTGATTTAAAAAATTTCATACATTTAATCCTATATTTCTCTTAAGTTATTATCTGTTGCAATTAATTGCTCTTAGTCTATTTTAGTCTTTAGTCTTGAAATTTTTCTTTTATTTCTAATTCTTTCCTGAGTTTTGTCTTTTCACTTCTGTTCTTTCCTATCTTGTATCACTTTCTTAAACATCTGGCTTGTTTTAAAATCATATGCTACAGTACTTTCCCTGTTTTGTAGGCATGTCTTTGTGGTGGGCTTTAATTATCTACGGGTTAAGTATCTCTTATCTGAAATGCTTGGGAACAGAAGTGTTTTGGATTTCAAATTTTTTGGATTCTGGAATATTTGCATTATCTTTACCAGTTGAGCAACTCACATCTGAAAATCCGAAATCCAAAATGCTCCAGTAAGCATTTCCTTTGAGTGCCACGTCAGTGCTCAGAATGTTTCGTATTTTGGAGCATTTCAGGTTCAAGATTTTCAAATTCAGGATGCTCCGCCTGTATGAGGGGATTATTCTCTACTTTATTCTCTTTTTTCTTACAGTAATTTTGTATGAGACTTTATCTCAACCCCTTTTTTTTTTCTAAAAACACAACTATAGCAGCATCAATCCTTTTCTATTGTGCTGTTTTACATAAAATCTGTTTTCTTGATCTTTTAGAAGATTATGTGGTTCTAACCTCACTGAGCTCATTCTTCTGCTTTTGTGTTGTTTAAAAATGCAGTAGCTTGATTTTTGAGGTATCCTGGATCCTTCTCCAATTTTATCTGAACCTTCTCTTCCTTCATCTCTATGTCTCCAACCTGCTCAATTTTTATTCCATTTCCAATATTTATCCTAACTGTGGGATCCTGTCTTTAAAAAGACCTCTAGCTGGTCTGCTTTGAAAATTCATACCATTTGCTGCTCTAGCCCCTTCAAAAATTACCAGAACCTCTTGATCTAGCCCAGTATTGGATTAGGCAATACCGTTCCTGATATCAAATGCTATTCTCACATCAGCCCATCACACTTTCTGATGAATAAATAATGGCTTCCCTCTGTTTCTTCCCCCACAGAGGCTAATACTATTCAGTTCTTGTGGCTTGTAGTAAGGAAACTACCTAGCTTTGTTGTAAATGCTGCCTATGGGTTCGTGGCTTTGCTACCTAGTTGCTCTGGGGTTTTTTGGTTGGTTGTTTGGGACAAGGTCTCACTCTGTTGCCGAGGCCAGAGTGCAGTGGTGCAATCACAGTTCACTGCAGCCTCAAACTCCCAGACTCAAGCAATTCTCCCACCTCAGCCTCTAGAGTAGCTGGGACTCAAGGTATGCACCACCATGCCCAACTTTTATTTTTTTTTAATAGAGATGGGAGGGGCCAGGCGCGGTAGCTAACACCTGTAAACCCAGCACTTTGGGAGGCCGAGGCGGGCGGATCATGAGGTCAGGAGATCGAGACCATCCTGGCTAACACAGTTAAACCCCGTCTCTACTAAAAATACAAAAAATTAGCCAGGCATTGTGGAAGGCACCTGTAATCCCAGCTACTCGGGAGGCTGAGGCAGGAGAATGGCGTGAACCTGGGAGGCAGAGCTTGCAGTGAGTTGAGACTGCGCCACTGCACTCCAGCCCAGACGACAGAGCGAGACTCCATCTCAAAATAAAAGAGAGATGGGAGTTCCACTTTGTTGCCCAGGCTTGCTCTGTTTCTGAGAGGAGATTCAAGGAGACTTACAAACCATGTCGCTGGCCAGGCGCGGTGGCTCATGCCTGTAATCCCAGTACTTTGGGAGCCCGAGGCGGGCAGATCACTTGAGGTCAGGAGTTCAAGACCATCCTGGCCAACATGGCAAGACCCTGTCTCTACTAAAAGCACAAAAATTACCCAAGCTTGGTGGTATGTTCCCGTGATCCCAGCTACTCAGGAGGCTGAGGCAGGAGAATCGCTTGAACCTGGGAGGCAGAGGTTGCAGTGAGCCAAGATAGCACTATTGCACTCCAGCTTGGGCAACAGGGCGAGACTCCGTCTCAAAAAAAAGAAAAAAAAAACCCCACCAAGTCACCACTGCTGCTCTTGCCACCCTCTTCCTAGATTTGAGAGTATTTTTAGAATTCTACGGGAAACTTCTTGAAGCAAAATACCTTAAAAATCTTATAATGGCCGGGCACAGTGGCTCACGCCTGTAATCCCAGCACTTTGGGAGGCTGAGGCGGGTGGATCACGAGGTCAAGAGATCAAGACCATCCTGGCCAACATGATGAAACCCCGTCTCTACTGAAAATACAAAAATTAGCTGGGCGTGGTGGCATGCGCCTGTAGTCCCCGCTATTCAGGAGGCTGAGGCAGAGGAATTGCTTGAACCTGGGAGGTGGAAGTGGAGGTTGCAGTGAGTCGAGATCACGCCACTGGACTCCAGCCTGACAGAGCAAGACTCTGTCTCGGAAAAAATAAAATAAAATAAAATAAATAAAAAATAAAAAATCTTATAATGTTTCCAGAAATAAAGCATGTTTTAAAAAATAAGAAAATGGACCCAGTTTGTCTGCTTACCTCAAGAAGTCTGAACAAGCGGTATCTTATTTCATAACTGGTCCACAAGGCCATAAAAAAGCCATTCGATGTGACAGTGCTAATCATAATTATCTTAAAGAAACGGCTCATTATGACTTTCTTCACAAATGCCCGACACTCATCATCTTTCCTCCTGTCAAAAAGTTGAATATGAAGTATGGTTACAGCACAACAGAGCTAGATCCCCACATAAGGCATATCTTTTTGTAGGGACAAGGCTCTGCTTTCTCCCTTGTGTGAATATAAATTTACATATACTTTTAAATAGCAATGAAATGTTGAATAAATGACCACTGACATACATATGATGGTCATGGATACTCTGTCCCCACTCAGTTACTTAGTTCCCTCTCCCTGGACCTCTGAAAAAGAATGGTCACCACTCCTTCTCCAGCAAAACAAAGTGTCATCTTCATTTACTCAACAAATCTTTATTGAGTGGCAACTACATACCAAGCAATATAGTAGGCACTGGGAACACAGTGTGAGCAAGACTAAATATTGCCAGTCTACTAAGCAAAACTGATAATCATCAAATAATCATCCATACACATGCTCACATCAATAAAAAAACTGAACACCCCAAGAGAAAATGGGCACACAATCTATTCGTGAAATAAATACCAAAGACCAATAAACTTCTCCAAATATGTTTTATAGCAATACTAATCAGGGAGATGCAAAGTAAAACCATTATTTTTGTTTACAAAATTAGCAAAGACTTAAACATGGTAAGATCCAATGCTGGCAACAGTGTAGCATGATTAAGCACTCTCAAAAACTGCCAGAGGCATAAAAACTGACCAGCTCTTTTGAAAAGCCTTAGAACCATTCATTCTCTGACCCAAGAGAATATAACCTGAAATGAAATAACTTCAACTAAAAGTGTCTATCTCAGTATTATTTCCAGTACTGAGAAGCTTGAAAACAATGTAAACATCTAACAAAAAGGACTGGGTAAGTAAATTATGGTATGTCCGTCCCGTGAAATACAGGCACTAAAATATGTCTATGCATTTTTCAGGATTTAGAAAAATATTTATGATCCATTTTTATAACTTGTTTTGTTTTTGCGTGCAGCAAAACACAAAAATCAAAGATACAAAATTCTCTGTTCAAAATTATCTCACCTGTGCAAAAATCAGCAGGTAGAAAAAAATCAGCAGGAAATATGCCAAAATTTTAACAGTGTCTGTCTATGAATGGTGAGGTTATAGGTGATTCTTTTTCCTGTTTATTTCCATTTATCTGTGCTTTGCAATTTTTCTCAAAGAGTACGTATTACTGTTTCCCATTATATGTTACAAATAAAATGAATGCATTCTCATAATAGTTAAAAAATATAGAACATGTATTCTTTTCTTTTTTTTTTTTTTGAGATAGAGTCTCGCTCTGTCACCTAGGCTGGAGTGCAGTGGTGCAATCTCGGCCCACTGCAACCTCCGTCCCCCCAAGCGATTCTCCTGCCTCAGCATCCCGAGTAGCTAGGACCACAGGTGGACACCATCACTCCCAGCTAATTTGTATATATTTTTTTAAATTTATTATTATTATTATACTTTAAGTTCTAGGGTACATGTGCATAACGTGTAGGTTTGTTACATATGTATACCTGTGCCATGTTGGTGTGCTGCACCCATCAACTCGTCAGCACCCATCAACTCATCATTTACATCAGGTTTAACTCCCAGTGCAATCCCTCCCCCCTCCCCTAATTTGTATATTTTTAGTGGAGATGGGGTTTCGCCATGTTGGCCAGGCTGGTCTCAAACTCCTGACCTCAAGTGATCCACCCCAGCCTCCCAAAGTGCGGGGATTACAGGTGTGAGCCACTGCACCCAGCCAGAATGTATATACTTTTCTAATATATCAAGATATGTAATTTTCATTATCTGATTTCAGATGGGGTCTATTACAAAAAAAGAGAAAAGCCTTCAGATTATCTAACAGTCATAATAGAAAAGGACAAAATGAGTCAAACTGGTCATTCAAGTCTACAGGGCACATAACCGTATGCGAACCTCACCAATCACAGACTCCAGATTGTCAAGGACATGCAACTTATTTTTAAGTGTCTGAGGGAAGAGGCTGAGAGAACGCTGACACCCTGCCCTCACACTTCCACTCGCACATTTCTTAACAGGCAACAGAAACAGATAATATTTACTTAAATTTCTTGAATGTTGGACAAAATCCCACCGATGTAGTATCAACTGGTGAACTAGAAAGGACTCTTGACTGGCTCTGGCGACGGTGTTGAGACATTTTCCAAATTTTTCAACTTTTATTCCTTGCTTTTAGCATCCAACAGAAAATCTCTGCTTAGGGATTTTCTTTAGCGTCTGGATTCTGAGAGGCAGCAGAGAAGGGGCCACGAAGGGAATCCTTGCTTTATGAGGTCACTCTTGGGCATTCCGTTGCATCACCAGTCTGCAGGCACCTGAAGTGGGGAGCTCCCAAGTGGGTCTATCATGGATTCTCTCTTCCCAAGGAGACTGTGCCTCCATTCAGCAAGAAGGCTATGGGCACCCAGCAATCACGAGGCTCTGGGTTAAAGCTAGAATTCACTAGAAACAGACCACACGAAGGCCCTCACTTCAAGAGGTGCCCCCAGCTGATAGACACAGGCCCTTAATAATGTGTTAGAAAATGTTAAGGGTCATATAAGGGGGAAAAGCAAGTTCTCTGGGCTCTAAGGAAAAGAGAGCACATCCAGGGCACAGCACTGGAAACACCTGGAAGGACAAGAAAAGATTGTGATGGGTTTGACTTAGAACAAAAGAAAACAAGAGAAGCAAAGAAGGTAATATTGAGGTAGGGATAGTGGCTCACACTTATAATCCCAGCAACTTGGGAGGCTAAGGTGGGAGGATCACTTGAGGCTAGGAATTTGAGATCAGCCTGGACAACATAGTGAGAGCCCCATCTCTGAAAAAAAATAAGAAATAAATATTAGCAGTGAGGCACAGTGGTTCACGCCTGTAATCCCAGCACTTTGGGAGGCCGAGGCAGGCAGATCACTTGAGGTCAGGAGTTCAAGACTAGCCTGGCCAACATGGTGAAACCCCGTCTCTACTAAAAAAATTACAAAAATTAGCCAGGCATGGTGGCGGGTGCCTGTAATCCCAGCTACTCAGGAGGCTGAGGCTGGAGAATCACTTGAGCCCAGGAGGTGGAGACTGCAGTGAGCTGAGATAGTGCCATTGCACTCCAGCCTGAGTGACAAAAGCAAAACTCCGTGTCAAAAAAAAAAGGAAATAAAAATTAGCCATGGGAGGCTGAGGCAAAACGGTCACTTGAGCTCAGGAGTTCAAGACCAGCCTGGGCAACATAGTGAGACTGTCTCTACAAAAAATAAAAATAATAAAAATCAGGTGGGTGTGGTGGCTAGCACCTGTAGTCTCAGCTACCAGGGAAGCCGAGGTGGGAGGATCACTTGAGTCCAGGAGTTGGAGGTTACAGTGAGCTGTGATCACACCACTGCACTCCAATCTGCATGACAAAATGAGATCCCATCTCTAAAAAAAAAAAGGAGGCAATATAAACCCTGAGTTGGCTAACTGCAGGCATGGGATGTGCACGTGCACATATAAACCACCTAAACAGAATATAAAGAGTGAGCCCATCAGGCAGAGATGTTTTAAGTACAAAAGTAATAGGGATTTTTGCTCTGTTCAATTCTCAGGATTAATATATTCTCCCCACTCACCTTCTCCTAACTCCTTTGGCTTTTAGGGCAAATCGGGACAGTGGGATCTGGGTAGCCCTGTGTTGAATTAAATGTTCAGTGGCTAAATTGGTCAGTTTCCTGGACAACAAATTTCTTGGACTGTAAGAAAAGGAAGTAACCGTCCCACCATCTCTGCTGTCCCTGGTATTCTACAACAAGTATATATGACCATTCATGGTAGGAAAATACTCTTGTGGGCAACCAATATTTCCCAATACTGAACTGGGAAATAACATCTTACGTACTCATTTTCTCCGTTTAAAATTATCAACAGCAAAGTTGTAAGAATCACTGTGATTAATGTCCCCACAATTCAAACTTTAGCCCCATCTTCTCCCTCTACATTGTTTCCCTCAGGGATCAGCTCCTCCTATAACTCCTGCTATATCCTTTAGTTATATGCCCCTAATGTCTCAGGGCTCCTGCCCAACATCCATCCACAGGGGCCTCCTGGGGCAGCTGCTCCAAGAGAGCCCACATCAGCTCTCCATCTGTTTCCACCTGCCCTGATATGTCACTGTGCCCAATCCCCTAGGGCACACAGAAGGCCCTCAGTAAGTGTGTGCCATATGAATACACAAAATAATGGCATCAGGGATCCCTGTGCTCACGCAACGTAGCTAGGCACAACAGGATTTCATCTCCAGGAAACTCAGTAGTACACTTTTCTGACTTCCCTCTTTAAGCACCAAAACATACCTTCAGGGAAAAACAGAAAAGAGATTAAAAATGTAAAGAATTATTTCATGCTGCTAGAGAGGTGAGGGGAGGTAGCCCACTGAAAGTGACAGAGAAGAGCCCAGTTGTTCTTGGTGTACTACATCCACACAGCCACAGATGATGCTGTTTCTGAAGCCAATGATGAAGACTTTAGTCTGAAAATGAAACTCCAGCTGAGTGAGCGGAAAGAAACAGGAAATCAGGTGACAAGCTGATCCAGGGCCTACTGAAATCATACATATCTTCTCATGGATTGGTGGGCAGCATGGGCATCCTAGGATGAGAAGCCCAAGGGCCATCTCCTGTGCCCTTTGAGCAGCAGCTCATGCTCTGCGTGACCTGGGCAACACCATCTCAGCCACAGATAGCCAGGGAGAGTCAGCCATTGGCAGGCGCAGCAGCTTGGTGACTCTGAAGTCCTCTGGACAGTGTCATTAATTTACTAGTCCCGAGTAACTGGCACTGAAACACAAAGCTCACATATGATGGCCAAACCCTACTACAGCTCCAGGTATTTTGCTGATAACTACAAAACTGAAAGCTACAGAGTCCAACTAGAATGTTTCTGAATGCTGTATCAGAAAGTGTACAGACGGCCGGGCGCGGTGGCTCAAGCCTGTAATCCCAGCACTTTGGGAGGCCGAGACAGGCGGATCACGAGGTCAGGAGATCGAGACCATCCTGGCTAACACAGTGAAACCCCATCTCTACTAAAAAAATACAAAAAGACTAGCCAGGCGTGGTGGTGGGCGCCTGTAGTCCCAGCTACTCGGGAGGCTGAGGCAGGAGAATGGCGTAAACCCGGCAGGCAGAGCTTGCAGTGAGCTGAGATCTGGCCACTGCACTCCAGCCTGAGTGACAGAGTGAGACTCCGTCTCAAAAAAAAAAAAAAAAAAGAAAGTGTACAGACTGCTCCCTACTAACCCTAGTGGTCCAATAGTTTAATATATTAATGGAGGCAGGCTTGTGTCCAAATACAATGTACATGCTGCTGCCTTTTGTCTATAGCAAAAACATAAACAGCCATGCTTAAGCTATTTATCCAAAGGTTTCCTAAATCCTATCAATGTCAGAAAGGAACCATTATTTTCAGAACTTTCATTAACTTCATTGTAGAAAAGGACATCGTCAACCATGTTGGCCCAGTTTGCTATCTGTGGAGGTCATGCAAGAGGTAATAGGTCATGTCTGTTTAACTCCTCTCTACTCCAGTGATCATTTAGAAAGAAAATAGAGGGAAGCCAAAGCTTACCACATCAGAGAAACCACTGTCATCACGCAAAGATTTGGAACAGACGGGAACCTGGGGGCCTCCAACTTTGACAATGTCTCTTTTAAGTTGAAACGTGAGTTACTTGAAGCAAGTTTGGTGTTTCATTCTGTCGGAATTTACCACCATGAGCATTTCCATAGACTTCGGATATGGGATCTTTGATTCTCTATAGTAAAGTCTATGAGTTCCAGCAGATGCAGCGACCCGTAAAATAGACCTATGTCAAACCCTCATGTAGGTGATAACTAGCAACATCATTCTCACCACTGTAATTATGAGCCATATCCTGCTTTCTCCACTGTGCTACATGTGACATATGTTAACACAGACATCAAGTTTAGCCTCTGAGACTTCCGCTCAAAACAGAGGAAAAGGGTTCCGTTTAGAGTATAGTAAAACAAGTTAAATGACACCACAGAAAGAAACAAACAAATCCAGAAGGCAGAATATTCTACAGCACAACCAACCCAATTTTTACAATAAATAAATTACATGGGGAAATGGGGAAGGGAGGGGAGCTTGCTCCAGATTGAGAGACTAAAGAGACACAACAACCAGATGCAATGGGTGGGCTTCATATAGATCCTGGATTAGAACCAAATTACTGTCCAAAGACACTCATGACCTTCAGGACAATTTGATTTTGCCTAGGTATTAAGTGTACCAAGGAATCACTTTGTTAGGTATAAAAATGGTACTGTGGGCCGGGTACTGTGGCTCACGCCTGTAATCCCAGCACTTTGGGAGGCCAAAGCGGGCAGATCACGAGGTCAGGAGTTTGAGACCAGCCTGGCCAACATGATGAAACCCCATCTCTACTAAGGATGCAAAAAAAAATTAGCCAGGCATGGTGGCACACACCTGTAATCCCAGCTACCTGGGGGGCTGAGGCAGGAGAATTGCTTGAACCTGGGAGGCAGAGGTTGCAATGAGCCAAGATTGTGCCATTGCACTCCAGCCTGGGCAACAGTGTGAGACTCCTCAAAAAAAAAAAAAAAAAAGGTACTGTGGTTTATACAAGAAAATGGCCATATTTTCCATAGATACTTACTGAAGGATACAGGGGTGAAATGATAAGCTATCTGGAATTTGCTTTTAAATACTTTAGCAAAGAAGGAAATGGGGAAAATGAAGCAATTGGGACAAAATTTTGGTAATTTTTATATCTGGGTGATCCATATATAAGGCTTCAGTGTATTATTCATGTACTTTTGAATATGTTTAAATTTTTTCATGCTTAAAAAATTCCTGTAAATCCAGGTGATGATTCTCAAAAGAAAATTTTTAAAAATGTTGAAAATTGAAGCACTTAACTAAAAATATTTGGTAATAAAATGTATAGAAGTCCAAATCTGCACTATAGGAAACAGCTTATAAAAACACACAGCTTTATCTTTTCCCTTGAAAGAATTCTAAGAAACAGAAGTTCTAGTGCTAAGAGTCTGGATCCCCTGGCAGCCAGAGAGCCTAGGTGGCTCTCTTCCCTCTTCTCTCCCTGCACACCACATGTCCACGGGGCAACTGACCATACCTGCCTTTCCCTGGCCAGCCAAACCAGCCAGGAACTCGCTTCAGAGAGCTCAGCCTCTGTGCCATGTTCTCGTATGTTTCTCAGGTTTGGGACAAGGGTGACATGGAGAGGGGAAGGTTTGCTTGCTGTAACAAAGAGTGATTTCTCTGGCCCCTAAAGAGAGGTGGGTTTACAAAAATGATCCGTGTTAAATTCCACTACCATGATGCTTCAAGGGACTAACAAATGCTTCATGGATGGATATATCTGCATCGTAATCTCATTAGTAGTATATTCCTGAATTCCTTCAAAGAACACTATTATAATTTTTAAATAATAGATTACTTGATATTGCTTTTCATATCTGTCAGTGATACATGGAGTAAGTAGAGCTCACTACTGAATAATACCCAAGTAGCTTCTAGCTTCAGTGGCTGTAGAACCTCAGTTCAGGAGTCACAACATGCAAATGATGGGGGAAAAATGACCCTTAGTTCCTCCTTAACTCAGTAAGTCAAATAATGAGCTGGTGAGTTCGCTGCTCTCACAGTAAATCTTGTATTGCCACACATTCCTGGAAGCCACGGACAAGACACTTGTCCTCTCCTTCAACTCTCTGTTGAAAGAGAAAAGTAAAGAAAACACACCAAGAGAGCTCATCCAATTTTTGTGACTTGTTTAATCTAATTAATTATTTAAGTAGTAACGGCAGCTAAAATCCAAATTAACTTTAGCTTCATAAGAATTGTTATAGAGGCCAGGTTATGAGGGGCTCAAGCCTATAATCCCAGCACTTTGGGAGGCTGAGAC